AGAGAGAATGTACTGTAGGAAATATGGTATGCAGAGCAGTGCTGTGTTAACGCATGAGCGCGAAGGCCCCCGATAGGTCTCGCCGTATAAAAAAGTGATGTGTGATTAAACAATATGCAAAAAAATTGGCATAACGGAATAGTGTGTCGCTACAATAATGTTAACATTTTTGTGATAAATTTAAATTGGTTCTGCAAATCACAAACATTTGAACAACTTACTCTGCGAACTACAATAGTTTTACCAACCAGGACATGCGAACTGGCAGAATGACTGCATTGTATAATAGTACAATGTAGTATACTTCGATTTTTTTAATGTGATGTCTCAATGTCACGCACAAAAAAGGGAGACCGAAGAGAGACTCCAAGTTCCTCAGTTCATTTGTTAGAAGTTCTAAAATTTCATAAGAATCATGGACTATAATAAACTTCTAATTCTGACAGGCATACCAGGTCAAATTATGAGGAAAACAGTAACGAGAAAAGGATGAGTGGATTACTTCTGGTAATCTGGACTTTCAGCAAGTTAAACATTTTGAGATGATTCGTAAGGGTGAAAATGATTCTTCAGTTGATATTGTATAAAACTATACAAACCCTATTTAAGTAAGCTGTAATAAATCATTTGAAATGGAAAAATCGTTTTGTTTTGCAAAATTTGTTGTCTTACAGAAGATGGAACTTAAAAATTGAAAAATTGAAAGATGTACATGAATGCACTTGTCATAAATGGAAAGTTCTTAATAATTTGCAGAGATCTATTGTGTGTTAATTGTATGAGGTGGTGTCGTCAGTGTCAAGTTTAATTTAGTCTATTAGCTTTATTTATATTTGATTACATTTTAAGTCAAACTTCAAACATTTATTATAAATGTTAAATATATTAAGTGCTCAATTCTAATTTGTTGTATCTTCATAACATGTCTCATAGTCCTTCTTGGGCAACATTCAATTTTTGTCTTTTTCTCTCATCACGTCCTGTCAGACACTGCCTTTTATGGTTTTGGGCAGGGACTCAGCCATGGCCGTCAGAGACAGTCATGGCTCAGCTCCATTGGTAACCAGGTTTCCCAGTCAGTTACCAAACCAGAAATCCATTGTGTCTTGGTTTGCTTAACTTCCATGACTTCATGGAGCACAGTGAAGCAATTAAACTTATGACTCTAATGTCTAATGTTAGACATTGACTTGGATGACATACAAAACGCTTGCCTTTCACCTGTCTTTGAAGTTACAATATTAGATATTTACTAATAACTTGCAGCTGCTGATAAAAACCACAAAATTCCAAAAAGTAGCAAGCATGCTGCTTAAGAACAACAAATAAAATATGCTTGAACAACATTGCAAGAAATTAAATATTTTAAAAGCAAACAGCGCTCTTCCTTGGAGCCTTCGTGTTACATAATGACATTTATATCATAAGCACATAGTATGACAATTAATTTGGTATGCACAGTATAAAAATAGGCAATATTGCACAATCAAATATTTTTTAGCCCAAATTTACATTGTTTCATTTTTTTTTTATCTTTCCCAAGTTCCTGGGTATTGAGGAAAAACAGACACCTCTCAAATGGCCGGAGATTGTATAGTTTTCTTTCAATTTCTCTATCCATAGGCCTTTAGTAATATATATAATTTCAGGTTATGTAATAAGGTGTTATACTGACATCAACAGGAGCATTAAACTTAGTAAAATACTTGCATTGAAGACATATTTTGATTGTATTCTTTTGTAAGTTCTCAGAAAAGCTAACATTACTCCCCCAGAATTATGGTTCATGACATATCATTTAAGGTGCCAAATCTGAACACCCCACTATTTTTACCATTTTTCCATTAAATTTCTCAAAAAATAAACTGAAAAGGAAAAGGAGAGGAATTCAAATTTTACAGGAGCATGAGGACATTTTTCCACTTCAAGAGTGTTCAACAGGAATATATTTTGGGATTTTCAATTTCTGAGAATTAAAAATGAAATAGCTGACAGCTAATTCTGTACATGGTTTATTGATAATCTTTCCACAATGGCATTAGTCTAGTCTTTACAAAGGAGCAACAACACACTCTCACTAGAAGAGAAGCCTGTGAACTCCAAGGTTAGCATGGTGTCCTGCAGCAGAGCATGCTTCTAGATGTTGCTGAGCCACAGGACCAATAGCTGCATATGAAGGGCAGGAACTTGCGCAGTCACTCTCACTACCTTTCTGCACACTTCCTAACGTCCTTTCACACTTTCTATATTGTCCTTTCACTCGTCAGTCTTTTAAGGCCATCACCCCTCTGAGTGGCATTGCCACTGAGATGGTTTTGTTCCTAGGTTTTAATTCGTAAGGCACTTATTACACCAGGACAGCTTGATAAGAGAATAATAATTCAAGTGAACAAATGAAGAAGAAAAAATAAAAATATTTACATTTTAAAGTGAAAAAGTGATGATACACATTATTACTACTACTATGAAACATGATTTGTTAGAAACTGTAAGAGAAGGATACATACAATTCAAATATTTAAATTGGATTTGTGTCATATCTTGAGAATTCTGTAGTTAAAAAAGTTTCATATTGAGTTAGCTATTAACAACCACAAAATATTTTTGTAAAAATAACTGTTCTGATACAGAAATATTGTGTTTATAAAAACATAACAGCACCATTTATCCATTTTCGAGCATTATACAAATACAGATACTATCGTACTTTACCACATATCACGACCATTGTCTCAAACTACCTGAATAAATTTTCCTTTTCATTTCGTATTTCTAAAGGCTCTTGGAAGTGACAATGGCAAAATATCAATTAGTGTCTGTTGGAGTGAGGAGACACTTTCTTTCTGCAATTATTCTCTCCACACTCGGAACAATTTTATTTTGACTTGAATATGTTGGCAACATTATAAAATTATTGGATTCAGAAACACTAAGTCTCATATGTGCTTCTGTCTCCCATGTCCTGCCTCCTAATATGTAACATTGTAAAATCAACATAGATTTTTTCTATGTAAAAGTTGTAACAACTGCCAGTTTATTTTACAAATATACAACATGTAGTTCACAAGATGTCATAAGTAAACAAAATGGGTGGAGGTAATATTAACAGAGTAGTATGATTCTATTGAAATAAGTTTCTCAAAAAATAATCTTTTTCTGCTAGTTTCATGCTGATTCTGATTAAACATACATGAAAAGCATTCATTTGAATTCAACAATCAGATTCAAACTCTCATGCCATATAAACTTTCCCTCCACTTTGCAATTGGTAGAAAGAACGACTAGTTTTTACTGTAAGAAGTTGTCAGCTTTGATAGCTCTGGAAATTTTAATAACATTTCAAAGATGTGGCCCAAACTGGGGGTGTTGGTCTGTTAAATGGAGTCTAAAAAGACTCCTTATCCAATGCAAAATGACCATTTGATAACTTTTTCCACCCATTATATTTCTTGCCCATTTTATTTATTATTTAATCTTGAAGTCTTTTAATTACAAATAACATTCTTTGGACGGATATGTTCTTCTGAACATTGGGCTTCATTGGAATTACTTGAATAATTCGTGTAAGGCAATGGAAGACTGCCTTTGTCTTTCTTTTTTAAAATATCGTCAAGATTTTCTTAAACAAATGATCTGTGTGTGGCTCTTGAATGATCATATTCTAACAACATACTCTCCCAACAATGCCTGTTATTTGAAAAAGAAATAATAAACTACAAACAAATACTCTAAAATCTCTTATAGATTAATTATCAGGACTAAACCTTTATCAAAACTACATTTATCTTAAAAATAAGTAAACATACAAATAAAATAACAGATTAGAGCTAGATCAGTAGAACAATTCAACCCTTATGCTCAAAGGTAACACAAATATTCAAATCAATTTTTGTTCTCTTCCCAATCACACTATGAAAACAAGGGGTTAAACAAAACGTATCTCTGTAATATAAAGGATGCAAGAATTAAAAGTTTAAGAAATGTAATAAAGAGGAAACCGATTAAAATATTTTACCAATCAGAATGCCTAGTGGCAGCGCCTACAGAGATCAGCAATCATCCAAGAGCCACACACGAGCGAAGAAGCACTTCATAGAGACGCTCGCCTGCATCCACGTGCACGTGTGATTGCTCGTGCGCACATAATTTGCACAAACGCGTACGGATCCACTAGTGAGGACTCGCACGCGCAGGTCCGAACGCCAGAACTCGCGCGCATGGACCAGTTCGGGTAGATCTAAGTGCGCGGCTCAGCCGTGCGGACCCAGGCGCGCGGACCCAGCCGTGCGGACCTAGGCGCACGCACCTAGGCCCGCGGACCTAGGCTCGCGGAGCTAGGCGCGCGGACCAAAGCGCATGGAGCCAGGCACAAGGATCCTGGTGCACGGGCCCACGCGCAAGGACCTACGCGCACACGCACGTAGCTTAACCGCTCCGACAAGCGCGTCACGTTACGTCACGTCAGCGTGCGCAGTCGGGGCGCACGCGCGCAGTAGTGCACGTGGGGCGGCGGGGCGGGGCGGGGCGGAGCGATCAGCGCGCGGGCGCGGGGGCCTGGCGCGGCGAAGGCAGCCGCGACCCCACCACCCGCTCCACCCACTCGCGCGCGCCGTGCACCGACGAGAAGACGGCCGGGCGGTGCGCGCGGCCGCAGTGCGCGTGGTGAGCCAGCACGCCCTGCAGCTGCCACACGCCCTCGCCGCCCTCGTCGCCGCCGGACTCGCCGCCGTCCGGAGACACGCACAGCAGCGGCGCGCCCTCGTCGTTCTGCAACCAGCAATGCACACTTTAAAAACTCTAACACACAGATGTACATTATCCCAGAAACCATCACGAATAAGTATCGTTTAATAAACGGAGTAAGTCATTTCAGGTGAAACTTGTGGTGCTAAAACAGTACGTCCTTTCTCGCCCGTGTTTTCACGCAAAATTACCCGAAAAATACACAAATTTTCGGAAAATTGTACACTTTAAAAATCTATCTTAAAGGAACAGATTTCATTAATGGAAACATTTCTATCTTCCTTAATTTGGTACAAAGACTTCGAAAAAATTTTGAACTTTTGCAATTTTCGAAAATTTAAATTTTCGAAAAACGTACATGAGACCTGTTCTATTCTCTTAAACATCCGTCACATTATCGAACAACAAAATTTAGTCAAAAGATAGAGGAATTTTTTTTTGGAAATTTGGAAAATGTTCCAGGTGCTTCATGTACAGTACCCCCAACATAAAATAAAAAATATTGTTTCAAATTCAAGGGGACGCGTCATCAGACAGGTCGATTTGGGAAATCTATTTTAGAGAAAATCGGCTGAACAGTTTAGCCGCTAGCGTTGTTCACAGACGGATTTTTCGTTTGAAAGAACACATGGATTCTGGCTCCACCTCGTGATAGAGGATATTTTCTAAATTTAGCAACTGAATTTATCCACTTTTTTGTTACCAGAACCCTGTAATAAGAGTTTTTCTGACGCAAATTCACCGGATTTAACAAATAACTTTCTCTCGACTTTTAGCCAGAAAGTAAAAATGAATTAGTGAAATCTCCAAAAAAATTAGTAATAAATATTTTCTTTACCGCTTTGGTCTGTGGAAAGTGTTTTCCCCAATTTTAGTTTCATGACAGTCTATAATGGAAACGGCTTGCCAGAGCTTGGAAAACACCAGGACCTTGTGTGCATTTCCAAGACTCAATTCGCTGTTGTAGATTCGAGATATCTTTTACGTCATTTTTGAACAGCGAGTGTACTGCAATTCTGACGACTGGCTGGCGAGGCAGAACAGGGCCATGCGAGTTGTAGATTTATCATTAATTGTTCCCCAATTCCGACTATTCACAATCTCACGTTTTTCAGCTTTTGAATTAAAAAAAATAGAAAGTTGTTTCACCAGAAATGACTCAACCTGCATATTATTCAGGAAAATATTTATTAAATTCCTTTCTGAATCTTGCATTTACTTGTACAAACAGTAATGATATTCATAAATTACATAAGCATGCATATAAGAGGAAAATTATGCTTTAGTTTTAGTCAAGGCAAGAAAATTCTTAAACGTGGCTGCAAATGTGATCAGAATCGGTGGAAGTGTAAGAAAGCGTATGGTGCCACCAACAGCAGTTTTTAAACAAAAATTCGTTTATCTACCAAAATTTACCTTGAATGTAAGTGAAATTATACCACTGATTCTGTAAAATGCCGCTCAGGCATTAGGCAAATAGATTCTCAGGCGAATGCATTTGGGGCATTATGAAGATGGTTAATATTGTTCCAAAACTACAGTAAGTATAATTGTAAATACAGTACTGCTCACTTGCGAGATCACATAGACAATAAATAATGTTGATTGCCTTTAAGAATTTTGGAATACTACTAAAATTAAATAATGTTGCACGTCAAACATACAATTATATAAATATGTTTATGTATGCTGTTAAACTGGCGAGAGTCGTTTTGAAATGGAGGCGAGGTGCCCCGCAACATAGGAATGTGTAGCGTGTTGCCTAATCTCATTCTTGAGGATTTCGCGACAAGGCGCAGCTCAGAAAAGCATAGATCCAACTAAAGGTCTAATTTCGACAAATAGTGGTACATTTATAACTAGTTTCATGTTAAATATTACACACTCGTTCTCAATTATCTGGCAGAAAGTGTCGATCGTGCCAACGCTCTCTTATCGTCGAGTTAACACTCTTATCCGGTTCACGCAACTTTCAGGAAAGTCTCAAAGTGTTGCGCATCTTCACGGACCTCCGAAATGGATACGTTTTTAAAATGGACTTTCAGCCCGCATTTCTTTAAGAATTAAAAAAAATATTCAAACTATTCTGCGGTAAAAATATTGCAAGTGTTCCGCACTCAATGTTTCTAGTTTTTAAACAATAAAAACCAAGAAGGAAATTCAGAATTGTGTATTAGTATTAGGCTCAATAATAAATTCCACAGTGGCAAATTTTTGAAGATACATTTTGTATATATGTTTTCAAATAGCAAGAAAAAAAGGAAAGTACCTGGACTGAAGCGGGAGGGGGTGTCAGTTTCTATTCATATCAATTCTCTTACTTCGCAGCTTAGCTAGAATTTTATCTATTATTTCCGATACATTCCATTGCAGGCCAAGGCTTCACTCTCCAAATGTAGTGTGTGTGTGTGTGTGTGTGTGTGTGTGTGGGAGCAAAATTCCTCTGAATGTCCAAGTTCCATCGCCCCCGAGGGCATACTCACGTAGCAAGGAGACCTCTCGGCGTCCGTGTAGCCCGCGCAGATGTCGCCGGGCCCCAGCAGGCCGCGGTACAGCTGCGACGAGTTGCAGGTGGCGCTGTCTACCGTGGGCACGGGCAGGTAGTGCAGCAGGCGTCCCACGCGCAGCTCTGCAACAGCACACGCGAGCGTCAGCGTGTCGCCACGCGTTAACCCCGCGCGCACGCTCGCGCGCCGTGCAGGCACGTCCGCGCTCCGCGCCTGCCGCCTCGCCAATCCCTTCATTTTCCTCCAGGGTTGCTGACTGCTCGTGCGCGTGGTCACGGAACATCGTATTGCTTGCGCCGGTCGTGTAGAAAATAGAGACGTGCGTTCCACGAAACACTGAAGCCCATCCACTGGAGAGCGAGGCTTGACAAGTCTGCCTCCGGGCAGTTGTAAATCTGCCGCTGCCGTTACCTGCTTCATTGTTCGCAATCACAATGTATCGGAAGCATGAACGAGTCCGACTCGCGCAGCGCATTATCATGATGTTAATGCAACTCTGAGTACCCTATTGTTCCTTAAAGGAACCTGTAGTGGCGGCGATAGATTTACAATTGCTCTGCGGTAGGCTTGACAAGCCTCGCTTTCCAGTGGATGGGACGTTTAATTTTTCGCAATCCCAGCGAGTCGAATACGCGGTTCACGAGTCTGACTCTGGGAGCACATCATCATTATGTAAATGTCCCTGCTTCACGCTCAATTGTTCAAAAAAGGGACACGGCGGCGGTAAAAGATTTACAACCGGAGCGAGTAAAGCTAGCAAGCCACGCTTGCTCGTTTATGTACTGCTTAGACTACGCACGGATAGCCCGTCCGCAACCAGCGAAATGGTGAAGCCCGGTGACCGTTGTGGTAACAAATTAAGTTACGTTATATTAGGACTGAGAACGGATGCGACAATATTAGAATACAGCACATAATTTATTTCTCACTACATAACCATTTCACATTACAATTCAACACATCAGAACGCTCTCACTCAACTACAAAATAAACAAGTCGCTCCACACGCATAACAAACCAGAGAAAACCCGTAAAGTGCCGACCGGAGCGCAGTAGTGAAATTGGATGAAATCTGCAGCGAAAAATTAAGCATGCGTCATTTTTTCGTACAAATTACATCCAGCCTGGTCTGTATCTTTTCTGTACCGGCGAAAAATGATTAAAAAAAATGATCGTGTAAAACAGGCTTTATGCGGGATGCAAGAGGTGCTGGTCCGAGCGCTCGCCTCGAGCGGTGGCTGCGAGTGGCGCCTCGTGCGCAGTGAAAGCGGCGGCGCGCGGCAGCTCTGTCGCGCCACTCGCCCGCAGGCGCGCTCTCTCCCGCGGCGCCACCGTCGCCCCTCGCCCGGCGCCTCGCCTACAGCGCTTTGGCATCGCAGGTGCCACCCGCGCGTGGGTTTCTCCCACAGGGAAGCATACATGTCTTCCCGCCGGCCCAGACCAGCTTCGCGAGAACCCGTTTCCCCGTTTCTTCACCCGCTGCGAGGCGGCGTTCCGGTAACGATGTTTCAATATACCGCAAGAGACATTTTTCTTGTGGAAGCCTTGTACGTTCTCGAGCAGTCTCGGACGAACGTGTGTGCCTTAAGACTTTTATTCGAACAAATGACACGTACCCTTTTTATGATGTTTTGATCGAACATTAATGGGGAGATCATTACTGCTACAATCGTTAAAGAAGTATTTTCCCAATGTAAAAACTTCACAATATTGAAGGCAAAATAAAAAAAATAAAAGAAAACTTCGTGATGAACACAACATTTTTTGGAAGATTGAACGAGGCTCAAGAAACTGTTAGACGCAAAACTTTCATTTTGAACTTAGTTCACAATTTTAAATTTCCCTCAATCCGATCCCTCTATCCGGTAAGCAATTTGTTTCCTTAATTATAAAAAGAACTGGATTAAGTTGCAAATGTAGAATACAGGGCTAAAGGTAATGATAACGTAAGCCGCACGAGCCACAGAAAGTCTACTCATCGTAAATGTTAATATTTTGTTTTGGGTTAAACTGTAACTTGCTATATTATTGACCCAAACTATTCGAATAGCAACAAGAGCTGGAGAATACATGCGGCAGAAGTAGCTTATCTTGATTCTGCCGCGAGGCTTTCATATTAAAAACTCGTGGAAAACATTTTCAAACAAACCTAATTAAATCCCACATTCTCTCAATAATTATTCGATTCAGTTCCACGGTTCTCCAGGCAACCTGCTCTCAAATTAGTCTGAGAAAGTAATGACATTCTACAAGTGTCAACTCTTTCCA